CCGGGGCGCGGGGCCACTTAGTCCCCCCCCCCCCCCCCCAGCTGCTCTGGTCCTGATTCAGCCGCTGCTGGTCAGTTTCAGCAGCAGCAGAATCAGGACGCCTGGGGCAGAGCAGCTGGGGTGCCGCCGGGTTGCTCCAGTAGAGCCAAGGAGCCAAGACAGGCTGACTACAGGAAGCCCGAGGCAGAGTTGCTCTGCCCCAGGCTTCCTGGAATCAGCCGCTGATCAGTTTCAGCAGCAGCTGACTTGGGGACGCCTGGGTTTCTTAAGTTGAATCTGTATGTAAGTCAGAACTGGCATCCAGATTCAGCCGTGGTTGAAACTGATCAGTTTCAGCAGCGGCTGATGCCAGTTCCGACTTACATACAGATTCAACTTAAGAACAAACCTACAGTCCCTATCTTGTACGTAACCCGGGGACTGCCTGTAGTACTTAAGCAAGTAGCAGACGCAATCTTGGAACTATTGGTGATTATTTTCAAGAACTCATGGAAGACAGGTGAAATCCCAGAGGACTGGAGAAGGGCAAATATAATACATATATTTAGATAGGAAACAATGGTGATCCAGGAAATTATACCGTCAGCCTAAGTTTAAAACCAGAAAAGATACTGGGGGAAAAAAAAAAAAAAAACTATTAGAACAATCAATTTGTAAGCATCTAAAGGAGAATAAGAGTAATAAATACTGGCCAGCATGGACACGTCAAACAAATAATGCCAAAAGAACTTATTTTCCTTCATGACAGGATTACTAGCAGAATGGATAAGAGGGAGCAGTAGATGTACGTTGATTAAAGATGTAAAAGAGTAGACAAGTTGACTACTTGCAATCCTCCTCCCACTTACTGCCTCTATATCAGCTACTAGGCTGCTCTTGGGGCATGGATGGGACTCAAACCGAGCGCCCCAGGTTTTGGAGGCTGATGCCTTATCCATTAGGCCACTTGCAGGAGGAATAACGGTAGTTTGAATTAGGAGCTTTAATTCGAACTACCGGGTCCCTACTGAGTGTAGCCTCAGGCAGTTAGTCCGGACTAGGGGCATTTAAAAATGGCGACCGGACGGGAAGATGCAAATAAAGCCTGTGATATTTAAATCCCAAGCTTCATTTGTAACTTCAAATGCCTACATTAGCCTCCCTAGTTCGAACTAGGGGGCTAGTGTAGACATACCCCTTAGGAAGAAAAAAAGATATATGTGCAAATATAAAATGGGGAATAAATGACTAGTAGTATTGCAGAAAAGGATTCTGGGATTATTGTGGATCACAAATTGATAAGACTTGCAAATATATAATACAGCTACAAAAAAAAAGCTAATAGCATCCTGTGGTGTATTCACAGGAATGTTGTATGTAACTGAATTGTCCTGGAGGGGTCTCACTGAAGTAATATATTCAGTTTTGGGGTGTCACACTTAAGGTAAGATACATAGATTCTCCAGAAGAGATCAGCAAAAATGATCAAATATTTTAAAAAACCTAACTTCTGAGGAAAGATATTAATTAAAAAAAACCCTACATGTATTTAGTATTGAAGGAAAAAGACTGAGAGGGACCTAATAACAGTTTTCAAATATACGTGAGTGGCTGTTAAAGAGAACAGTAGTAAACTGTCCTTCACATCCCCTGAAGGCAAGACTAGAAATAACTGGCTTAACGTGAAGCTTGGGAGATTTTTTGGGGGAAAAAACCCCCTAACAATAAAAATAGTTAAGCACTATAATAGGCTTCCAAAGGAGGCCATCTAATTGTCCTAACTGGAGGCTTTTAAGAGCAATTAGACACTTGTCAGATACAGTCTAGGTTTACCTGGTTCTAACTCAGTGTGGAGTGGTTGATTTAGATGACCTCTTAATGTTCCTCCTTACATTTCTGTAATTTTGTTCCATCAGCAACACTGCTTTAGAACATGATGCTCCATGTTCCAAAGGCATGAGAGGAAAATGTGCACAAGCCTCAACACAACATGAATTTCATAAAATGTTATTTTAATCTAGAGGAACAAGATAAAAGGACACACATTGGGGACACCAGCAAAAAGTAATAATTTGCCATAGCCTGCATAAATCACTCAATGGGGTAAGCAGTTTAGGTACAGACAATGCTAAGGTAGGACAAATACCCCACAACCATATTTACTTTTCAATGATCTCCATTGGGAGAGTACCAACAGCATACAGTTACAATGAAAACAAATACAGATTTTTAATTCATGCATATATAAGAGGAAAGCATTGATTGCAGGTGCAGTTTCCAAATGTATATATTTTTTGAAAGTTCTGTACCCTCGCTCACACCATGGACACCATTTGGAAAGCATCAACCGACCAGGGGGAGGGAAGAAAGAAAAAAAAAAAAAAAAAAAGAACAATTCTTTCTTTATGGCAGACACTCACATGAATAATGCCAGGCAGTGCAGCCACATTCCCAATCTGTTTCATAGCAGGTAAGAATCCACCAGCACCTGAAAGGCAAAAACTAAATGTTTACACACGGGACTTCCTGACAAACAGCATTTATAATGACTGATATGGAAGCACCTTTCAAGTTAGCTAGCTCAAATTCAGGCAGATTAGTAGTGACCAAAGCTTGTTTTAATCTGGTGGAAAATGCCTGGCACTTTGGGAAGCTACAGGTCCATTGTAATGAAGTGTTTCTGAAATTCCCCTGCTGTCAAAGTGCTGGTACAGGTCATCTGTCTACATTTTACCACCATACAATCTAGGACTGTATAAAGTAGGGATGTGAACAGGTAATCAATAAGTGTCACTGGGTGATGCTTACCAGGTAACTTAACCAGTACTCAGGAATGAAATGCAGTAAATAACTATAAAGATATAATTATGAAAAAGTGCAGTATATTTTAAGATCCCTTTATTTTTCATTTTTGTAAAGTTCTTAACACAGGAAAGAAATGTATTATATTTTCAACTTGTCCCTTGCAGTCACCAGGACTGGCAAGTCTGTCTGTTTCAGCAGCAATATTTTCAGGATTTAGAAACAGTGTTGTCAGGTACACAGGGAGTGCATACTTTCATGGCTGGATATGTGAGTAATCTTTACTACACATTTTCAATGTTTTCTTAGACGCATACAAGCCACACTAATTCAACGTAAAAGGCTTTTTTTTTTTTAGGAGATGAGAATGAAAGAAGTGATATACAGGAAGCAAGCATTTGAAATTTAATGAAAAACAAACAAGAAGAGGGGATCTTCCTATGCTTACCGCCACCTCTGCAGGCATTTCGTAACTCCTCAAACATTAATTTCTCTAGTGGCTCATTTACATAAAATACTCCTTCCACCTAGAAGCAAACATAAGAACGAGAAAACACAAAATAGTGCATCATTACTACTCTTACAAAAACCTGCCAGAAGCAGGATTATATAACAGAATAGGTTACAAAGTGTATTTTTTTTTGTTATTTTCTTGCCACTGTTTATTTAGAAGCATATTTGCTTATCTTTCTGGTAGGGCTTAAGACCCACTAGTCACTTTCAAAAGACATACACTTTGTGCCAAGAAGTTTACAATCCCAATGCTCAATCCTGCAAACAAACAGACCATGTCTATATACACAGTGCTCCAGCTGCACCAGCACAGCATGTCTCGTGAAAATGCACTATGCCAGTGGTGCGCAACCCGTGGGTCATGACGCCCAAGGCTGTCTTCCTGGAGCAAGGGGGTCACAGCGCCGGGCCGGCTGCCATTTTGTTTTCCTGGCTTGGCGCTCAACATACGTGCAGCGGGGGCAGGAGGAGTGGCAGGGGAGCGGACCAGCACTTTAAATTAAAGGGGCTGCAACAAAATGTTCCCAGCGCCTTTTTTTTTTGCTCAACCAAAATTTTTCCAGCCCTGGGGGTTGCAAATTAAAAAAGGTTGAGCACCATTGCACTACGCTGACAGGAGAGAAATCACCTCTACCATTGGCAGAAGCTACATCAGGAGATGAAGCTCTCCTGCTGACCTAACACTATGCACACAGGCACTTGTGTTAATATAACTTATGTGGCTCAGAGGGTGTTTTTTCATAATCAAGTGCATAGGCGACTGGTGCCTGGAGGGGAAGGGGTGCAGGAGGGCCACCCAAAAGGGGGGGGGAGGGACTAGAGGCGCATCCATTTAGCCCTTTGAGTTTTGACAGGGGTGGGGTGGCAGTGCTACCTCCTGAGGGCTACCACAAGTCACATATGCTCAAGTGACATAAATTATACCGACATAAGCTGTAGCATAGTGTGCAACTAGACTACAGGGTTTTGTCGACAAAAGTATACCTGTGTCTACACTACCGCCGAGTTGGGCAGTTTTGTCGACAGCGGTAAACCTCATTCTATGAGGAATAATGCCTTTTGTCAACAGAGTTCTGTCAACAGAAGGCGTTATTGCATCTACACTGTCCTTTGCGTCTACACTGTCATGTCGACAAAGTGACTTGCTTTGTCGACAGATCTGGATGCAGTCTAGACGCTCTTTGTCAACAGAAGCTTTGTCGACAAAAGCCTGTAGTCTAGGTGTACCCATAGAGACTAGGCCCAGAACCGCTGACATGCATTAACACTTTCACTATCGGGATCCAAAGCCAGAGTGACGTTAGGAAGAACAGAGACGGGGCACATGTAGCCAAGGTGAGGCTGGGGCCCGCCCTGGGGTTCCTAATCCGAAACACGTGTCCAGCTATGGAAGTGCAGCTTCTCTTCGGGGCATTAGCCCCGCCCCCAGGATGTCTTTCTCTGAAGTTTATTTTAATAGGGCCGGATTCACGGGCTTAGAGAACCGTTAAGGATGAAAAATATCCCAGCCGCGCGCTCTCCTCCAGCGAGAGCCCCTGGGAGGGGGGGGGTGTCCAATTCCAAGGCCCCCTCCCCC